AAATTAGAATGAGCATTCACCTTCCTTCAAGACAAACAATGGGCAAAACTTGCAAAAATCAGGAAAAAACCTGTGGCTGTACTTGCTGCCATAGGTGTGTCACCCAAATATCGAATTCATAGGTCTGAATACTTCTGCATTTGGCATAATTAATCATTTGCTGGCGAAATCGTGCAAAAATTAAATTTTCATTTAAAAAATGTGTATTCATTATTTTGTATTACTTTCACAAAATAGGACATCACAGGAAATGTCTGAATACTTTTGCAAGGCACTACAATTAAATGGGAAAGGTATTGGACAATAGCAGAAACTGAGAAAGAAATACATTGCAACTGGAAACAGCTGTGAGACACAGCAAGTTAGTTGTAAATGAATTATATCCTAGCATTTAATAAATGTCAGGCAACTCCCAACATTTGTTTCAAAGGCTAGTTGGGAACATGTTACTTATATTTAGGTAATAAAAGCTAATACCAATCATTTTTTACTAAAATGTTAGTAATGTGCTACCACTCAATAAACTGTATTTCAGTAATACAGTAAAATCTAGGTTACTGGTATCTCCTATTCTATTTAACTCACTCCCTGGACTTGGGAAGCATCTGTGGCAAGTCTTGTGGTCAGTGCTCCTGGACTGTTCCTGTGGTCATCAAACCACCCGATCTCCTGTCCCAGCATGGCTTGAAAGCCCAGCTTGCGAAGTCTTCTGGTAAGAAGTTCCCCTGACTTGGAGAATGCATATCCCTGAGAGAAAGAGCGAGTCAGGATGTAGTAACTTGCTACAGAAAACTGCACGGAATTTTCAAATGCTAATTTAAAAAAAGGCTTTTCTTTTTACCTGCAGCATTTGTGTAAAAAACGAAATGAGTCCAATGAACACAAAAAACAAGCAAATTCCATCGATTTCTCTTTTCTGTTGTTCTGTATCGGGCATTGAAAATGTCTGCAACACAAAAGTCGAACCGTGGTTTAGAAATTAAAAGAGACAGAACAGTGCGTTTTGGCCAAATGGATTTCTTACCCTAGCAGAGGACAACAGAGAGTTTTCATATAATTTAACCAGCACTTACTCCAAGAATCTGGCTGAACAGGAGAGAATACATGGGGCTTACTCCCCCGTTCACCGCAGCCCCCAAAGTACCAAACAACATGTAGGGCCATTCTGGCGCATTGTACTTCAGTATCCGGGCCACAGGAGCTGGCTCCACTGGCTCCTCTTCCTCCTCAGTCTGAAGTACAAATAGGGGACAGGACGAGCGGGCAGATGAGTCTAGGTTACTTGAGAGATCTTGGGAGAACGTAGAGCATTTACAATTATTACCAGTCAGTACTGTTCAGACTAACCTTACTTTTGACATCCTGTGAAGCAACAGACTGAGTGTAGGATCTTGGTCCCAATTCACCCGCAATAGGCACAGAGGACTCTGGTATGACGTTGGACAACTGCGATCTAGACCTCTGGCGAATTGAAGCTCTGAGGAGAAAGTAGGGCTTACTGTATCAAGAATAGAAAACCCGCTGCAAGAACCTTCGGCCTTGTTCTTCTTTTGTGTTGTTTTCTCAAAGATGTTTCTCAAAAACTTTGTTCCACTGTGGTATAACTACTTACTACTGAGCAATATTACAATAGGTGCTGCTGAATAAACAGAAATTGTAGTAAAGGCAAGAATATATGTCTAATTACTGGGTAACACAATAATGTAACCACTAATGATACATTATGGTAATACAGTAGAGTGCCTTGCAAAAGTATTCAGACCATTCCTATGGTGTCCCCATTTTTTAAAATTACAAAATAAAAGCATAAGTATGACCTATTTCTTACATTATTTTTTAAAGGCAATTCAACTATATGTCATTAAGGTAATTTTGTGCACCTAAATTAATTTCCTTTTGTTTGTTTCTTTGCTTTGAATGTGTGGAGAAAATCATGTATGCAACATACTGTATATTAATTGCTACTTAAAAGTGTCATGACTGCAAACTTTACACTGGTCTGAATTTTTTTGCAAGGCAGTGTATTTCACTTACTGTTAATGTAATGGGTGATTTGTTTGTGCAATTTTGCAGGACATACCGTAAACTAGCCCGGTAACTCCCTGCCCGCAACATACTCCTCGTCTCGCATTCTTCAGGCACTTCATCCTCAGCCACTTAAGACAAATTGATCAAGAAGTACAGAAGTAAAAAGATCAGCCATGATGACTCTGTATTATTAGTTATATACAGTAATGATCTTTATTTGCTGTGTTCCCTACAGTTCTTGCCACAAGACTTACTTTGCCGAGCCTTCTGATTGAGGGCTTTGTCTCCTTGGGTTTGAAGAGTCACTAAAGTGAAATAAATCCCTTTTCTTTCCAGAAGCTCGTCATGCTTCCCCCTCTCCACAGCTTGGCCATGTTCAAAGCCCACGATCACATCAGCGTTCTTGATTGTTGAAAGACGATGGGCTATGGAAATAGTGGTGCGCCCCATCCGCACCTCAAAACACAAAATTGAAACTTCAAGTGAGAAAATCAAAAGCTTGAAGTTCAGACGTCACAAAGTTACTAATTTTATATTTATGAACTTCTTATTGTGGTATTAATTAGATTCGTACACATATTGATTTTTGCTCAAAATGTAGTTATTAGTTGCATTGTTGTGTAGCAAATGATTGTGAACATAATTTCTTATGCTGTCTGATTTTCTTGGTTGTCTGCTTTGGAATGGTTTTGTGAAACACTGAATTTAGAAGAGCAAACCTTGTCTAGTGCTTCTTGTACCACAGCCTCACTCTCGTTGTCGAGCGCGGAGGTGGCCATGTCAAGCAGCAGGATTCTGGGATTCCTGACGAGAGCTCGAGCGATGGCGATTCTCTGCTTCTGGCCCCCACTCATCTGTCCTCCGCCCTCCCCCACCAGGGTGTCAAATTTCTGAGTAACAAATGACGTTATGACATAGCACAAAATCATTCTGTGCCTTGCAAAAGTTTTCAGACCCTTGCACCATTTTCATATTCTGTTTCTTTAAGCAA